GCCTACAACACCAAACTTCGCCGTCCTGACCTTTGAGGGAGGGCCAGGAGGCTTCGTGGTGGATTCCCGCCCGTAGTATCCCGAGGACTATCGGACGGGGGACCGACCTAAAACCTGACTGAAACCCCTGGTCGTATGGATGTTGTCCACCGCGGAACCGCGTGAGCATTACTTCACGGTGGACACCCGACCGGGCGTCCTTTAGGAAGGACACATCCCCCGAGATGATACTACAGGTATCCCCCCGGAGAGGACAATCCCTTTCCCCGAAAGGGCATCGAGGGGAGCCGGGCTACTAGCTCCCCCCCGGACTTCCCTGGGTCGACGTGCAATGAGATCAGGGCCCCCCCCCACCCCTCTCCCTGCCGACCCGGCAAGTGAGGTGACCGCAGTCACCCACCCACACACACAAAAACGTCACAGGACGTTACAAAAGACAACAGTGCATGACACATGTACACAACCCCATCAAAACATAGTAAGGGCCACAGGCCCAGCCCTCTAGGGTCCACAGTAAGGCACTATGGCCAACCACAGTAAAGGTGGGAGGGTTGTTACTCCCACCTGTAACAAAAGACAACAAGACAAGAACGACATAAACTTGGCGCGGTGAAGAGGCCGCGGAGTCACCTCTCGGCAACCTCCCCGGCACTCAATCACCCATCGCCGCAACCTACAATATAAACTTGGCGGGGCAGGGAGACCACGGAGTCACCTTTCGGCAACCTCCCCGGAACTCCCCGCACCCACCGCTACACAGTACGACAGACAGAGGACAAAACCAACACTAAACATCGGGGGCAGAACTGCAGCCCGGCACATGGGAGCCACCTCTCAGCGACTTCCTCCGGCGCAGACTGCAGTCCACCCTCGTCCATTCCGGGCTCGCAGGCCCCCCATCAGGGCGCCCCGGAGCCTGCGCACGTTCTGTTGGGGTAGTTCTCTACCCCCCTGATGTCTCTTGGGAGGGACGCACGTCTTTGCACAGGCCGCCGAACCTATCCGATGTCCCGACGGCTTCCCTCGAGCCGCGCTCGAAAAACAACGGGCGGGCGCCACACAATTGGCAGCCTTATGCCCCAAATTACCGCACCTATAGCACACGCCGCTACGGTCTGCATCAGCGCCACAGGAATTGGCCGAATGGCCAAACTCATGTCACCGATAGCACTGCAGGGGGCGACGAGCCAGATGAATCACATCCAGCGTCGCCCACCCCCCCGCCAGTGTCAATTTCTTCCCAGCTAGAAGCTTCCGCGCAGCCCCAGCCGGACAGCGGATCCAGATTGTCCCGACATCCGACCTAGGGAACAACGGATTTCCCCAGCCGTTAGCTCCGCAACACTACAGCCTCCAGCCGAAGCAACTTCCCGGAGGATGTCCTGCCTAGTAAAGGACATCATCGTCCCCCTCAACCGAACATCCTCCGTACGAGAGGGACGACCAATCCTCACCTCACCCGCAGATGGAACACATCCTTCAGTCTGGACATCAGATTATCAGCTTTAGCCAGATAATCCTTGCCCTTGACTGACAGCAGAATGCTGCCAGTCACTCCCTACGCATACGTAGCGAGCTGATCTCCAAATCCTTCACATCAATTTTGGACTTGGCCTCGGATAGAACCGAGGCATAGGTCCTTTCCCGCTCTCTCCCCTTGAGCGTCAGTGAAACCACCGACTCCGCAGGGGGAGGACGTCTTGGGTTTTCTTTTTTCCCCCTTGCTCAGCTCTACCTTTCAGGATACTCCCTTTATTAGTTGAGCCTCCTGCGGGGGTCGCCCGGAACCACGCCGACGACACCTAACTCTCCTCCTGGAAACCCCAGGACCGGGGCATCCGCCAAGACTTCCGCAGAAACGGAAACGGCAGAGCCCCCAGGCACAGGTCAAGCCTCGGCGCACCGCACCACCACCTACACTCAAAGTAGGCGCACGCATGGGAGTCATCTCCCCCCAAAGGGGAGCGGCCCCAGCCCGCCCACCGAGCTCCGACCTAAGCGAGGCCATAACTGAAATCGATATGTCGTCCCTCAAGTCGCTAAAGCGACGATCCAGAAGGGACGACAAATCGGACAGCATAACTGGTCGATCCTCGACCAAAGGACACGCCGACACCGTCGCCGAAACAGGCGGAGAACCCCCCGAAGAGGGTGGGCGGGGTCTCTTTTTTGCTCCCTTATCTCCAAGATAAAACCCTTCGATTTGAGGGATTGCAGAATGAAGGAACCCTATCTTCTCCGTCAATCTGTCCACTTCTCGTTCCAGAGCTGAGACGTGGCCCCTCAAGCCCTGGTTTTCACTTCTCAGTGAGTCCATCCTTGGATCCGCCTCCACAGTTGTTCGGGAAACAGCCTCACAGATAACACCACCCAGTTTCCTTGAGGAGACACGAAGCTCCTCGGCCATGATATCACCAAGGCCGGGGAGTCCAGCCACCCTCTCAACTTGGGTCACAAACCTCTCGCCTAGCCTACGGAGCTCCACGGTGGTGACTCCCTTGAGCTCCTCTGCAAATGCCGCATCCGAAGGGATGTTCTTCGGGCCTACTGCGGTTAGAGTTGGACCAAAGGAAGGATCCAATACTCTTTCCATATACTCTAATTTCAGCGCCTCCTTCATGGCAGCATTTAGGCGCTCCCTCTCAGCCGCTAAATTAGCGTATTCCCCAGTTGTTTTGGGGCGACCCCTTTTACGGATAGTGCACTTACCTGCAACTTTCTTTCGCGGGTATTGTTTTCTCCCCGTTAGGACCCTCTTGTCCTTAGGAGCCCACGATGCATCCCTGTCAGCTCTGCTCACCCCAGCCTCCGGGGAGCTACCTGACAAGACAGAGATAAACGATGGCTCACCAACTTCCAGTTCATCACCGCTACTAACCCCTCTCAACTTTTCAGGAGAGGGGAGAGGCTGAGAACCGTCACTCTCATTACTGAGTCACTCACTGATTCAGTGTCTACTTCCTCTGTCGAGCCACTCAGCACGATAGCTCAAAAGACTGTACACACTTGTGATAACGACAGAAAGGTGTTCTGCCGCGCACACACTCCCGCAAGAACCCTTCGGCATAATTGGCCAACATAGTATATTGGCCAATAAACCGAAACTCGCGGATCTCTTCATCCAGGAGGAAGCGATGAATATCCTCAGCCAACTCCCTTTGGTCATCGTTCTGCCCAAGGTCTTCCCATATAATGGACAGCTTAATAAGCTGGTCCTCAACCTCATCGACTAGCTGTTTCGACACTGTAACTTTCCAGTCTGCGGACCCAGTCGACAAATCCGCAGACGACCTGTCGCTCGATGACGACATGGAGGGAGCCAGGCCTACACCCCCCCCCCCCCCGCCGGTTCCTGGTATCCGATCCCAGGACGATCGCTTCTTTTCCGGAACTATCCATGATACTGAAAAAGAAATTGGTTTTTTCTGTCGGGGGTTTTCCTTCCCCTTAGGAGGTTGCCTTACTCAGCTAACGGGGCCTCCCCCCCGGGTGTTATCTTCGGTGTTTTCCTTCACCTAGTGCAGTGGACAAGTCCTTTTTAGGGCTTGCACGCCCATCACACCCCGTTCATCCATCACCAGACACTCCAGCTCGGGTACCTCGGGATCGCGACACCCGTACACTACGGGGATGAGTCCGTAGTGCCCCTGAGGGAAGTTTTATTTTTCCTAATATTAGTGTTATTTTTATAATATTAGTAGTATTTTTTCTCAGATTATCTTTATGTTTCCTCAAGTTAATTTTATTTCTCCTAATATTAGTTTTTAATATTAGTTAACTAGCAAAAAGAAAAGAAACTGCAGTAATTCTCTCCCAAAGAATTTAAAAACACTTTTAGTGCTCTGCATTTAAGCATCTAAAAAATTATAAAGATTTTTTTACATAATATATATTCAGATTAATTATATTTATTCAAGTGTTATTATACAATATTGTATAAAAATCAGATATTTCACAATAAAAGTTTAGTTTGCGATTACAAAACAATCTCGATTTCAGATAATTAAATTAGGATCAAATTCAAAAACTTCTTTAATTTGCCTTTTTTAAATTTCTCTCGAATTTGTGATATATAATTTGTTCTGTAAATATATATTAAATTTTAATTTTTAATAGCATAACAAAGCATTCGACCAACGATTCTAACGAGTGTCGAAAAGTTCAAACGGCGTTAATTCTTTTTAGCTGCTATTCTGAGAACGAACATTTTCTTTCTCAACGCTTACACGGTGTTTCGAACAAATAAGAATAAAATGTTGCGATTGAGAATGGTAGAAATGTTACATTACGTAAATAATTATACGAAGAAAACTACATACATGTCTCTCTCTCTCTCTCTCTCTCTCTCACTCTTCCCTCCTTCCCTCTCTTTTAAATAGATAGAATAAATAATTTTTGTATTTTGTAAAGTATAAATAATTTTGGAATTTAAAAATCTAAATTTTAGATTTATTTATTTAACAACATATTTGATAAAGAAACAAATCGGTTCCGGACAGTTGTGACATGTTCCTTGTGAAGGTGCAAATAAACAACGCGTGACTCGGCGAGTTTCGCGCAGCTCGTGCAAGCTCGTGAATTCGACTTATTATAAACCTTTATTGTTCTCACGGCGCGTTAATTCGCGAATCCCACGCAACTCGTACAAGCTCATCAATTCGTCTTATTACAAACTTTGATTATTCTCACGGCGCGTTAATTCGCGAATCCCGTGCCGCTTGTCGTGCTGTATGAACTTTAAAGAAACCCATTTGTCACTTAAAAATGTCTTGTCAACGAGAACACATCATTTCTTGTGCAGCAGCTTGCTACGTATTAATGAGTGGTGATTATTTTTTAAAGAAAAAAAGACGTAGAAGACGATGGTGAATAGTATCATTAAATAAAAGTCGGACTATGTAAGTTTTATATATATTCACTTATAATGCTTTTGAAACGTGCAAATGATTTATACTATTTTTAATAATTATGTAACTTATTACAAATATAACGCGACCGACATGCTATACGATTTAATCAAAGAACCTTCTGGTAAATTCCAAATTTCTGCACAATGTCAACAGCAGATTTTGAATATCTACTCAACAAATGTAAAAATTCCGCTACTGATTCATTTGACCAATCCATTGCGCATTACACAAACCACGAATCTATTCGAGTTTGTGTGAATGCGTTTACGGGACAAGCGACAAGCGACGTGTTTCTTTTGACTCGTATGTACTTATCGACGATCAACAGAAAAGACGCGCCGCGCCAAGCCTTCTCGCGCTATAAGTCTATTCACACGGCTCGCGGCGCGGCAAGTCCCGAGCCAGACTCGTCGAGTCACGTGTCGTTTATATGCTCCTTTAGATTAGATTAAGATTATTTTGTTTTAAATATATCTAGATAAAAGATAAAATTACATGACAATTTATCTAGATAATTTGTGGATAATATTGTTTTTAAGATTGCTTATATAGACACAGTTATAAAAAAATGTAAATTATAAATGGGATATAAAATATATTCATACTTTTATTTTTTAATTTTTTAATTTTTTAATTTTTTAAATATGTATAAATAATACATATTTTTATTATCTATATCAATATAAGAATGCTGCAAAATTTTATCTAATTGATCATCTATAAAATTTTAATTAGATAACAAACACTGATTGTAGGATCCGCAACCACCAGAACCATGGTCCAGCGACAGAGACGCTTCGTCTAACGGAAACGTCTGTCTTCAGATAAAAACGAACATTGTCATAGGCGAAGAAGACTGTCTCTATTTGAACGTGTATACCAACGATGTAACACCTTCAAAGAAAAGTGCTGTGATGGTATGGATACATGGTGGAGGCTTTTTTGTGGGAGACGGTACCTCGTTTTATTACGGTCCCGATTATATCATGCGGAAGGATGTGGTACTCGTCACCCTGAATTACAGATTAGGTGTCCTAGGTACATTATTAATTAGCTCAAAATCATTTTATGTTACTTGCGTTCAATGATCTATTTTTTTTTAAGTAAACACATACACACGCATTCTACTTCCCACGATCCAAATAATTTACGTGTATGTATGATTTTTTTGAACTACCAATTTCAAAACAATAATAAATTATCATAACTTTTTTATAAATTTTAACGTTTCATTACTTTTTTTATAAATTTTGTTTTCATTAACAATTGTCGAATTATAAGTAATTAAAAAATTCGTGAAATCGATTTATTTAAGCGTTGAAATTTTTATATATTTATATAAGTTATATAAATAAATTAGAAATTTTAAATAATCGGCCAAACTAGCAAAAATTAAAATTTATTAAGTTTTGCGACGTTTCGAACATGTGGATGTGGTCTTTTTCAAATGAAAAACGTTAAAAACATTTCAACCACATGGTCAAAACGTCGTAAAACTTAATTAATTCTAATTTGTGCTAGTTTGGTCGGCTATTTAATATTCCTTATTTTAATGACTAGCGAATACGAATATTTAAGACTTGATATCAAATTTTACTAAACGTATTAACGACATGTTTCTCTCATTCTCTCTTTAGGTTTTCTCAATTTTGATGAGGAAATGGCGCCGGGAAATCAGGGCTTAAAAGATGTAGTTATGGCGTTAAGATGGGTTCAAAAAAATATATTGCAATTCGGTGGAGATCCCGATAACGTCACAATTTTTGGTCAAAATGCGGGTGGAGTGATGGTTCATTATCTAACTATTTCACCGTTAGCTAAAGGTACGAATCAACAGGACATAATATTAATATACATATATTAAGAATACTAGAAACACATTTTACACAAAACAAAATTAAAAAATTTTATAGATTTGCTGTAGCAAAAAAATTTTTAATAAGATTTTTTTTTCATTCTAACTTAAATTTCAATTGCAAACTATATAATATCGACGTTTTAAAACATCGTAGAAAATTACTTAGAAGATACCTCAAACATCTTTCAGTAAAAAATATCGATTCTAAATTGAGAATTGAAAATTAAAACCACGCTGATTAATTTTATGTGTCATATTGAGTCAAAGAGGAAAAATGTAAAAATCTCATGATAAAGTCATATTAAACTTCAAGTGTCAATTATATTATGTGCGAATATGTGCTTAACAGGTTTATTTCATAAAGCAATATGTCAAAGTGGTGTCATGACAGTTCCTTGGGCTTTCACTGAACAAGACGATGCTATCAATAATGGTCTGATGTTAGCCCAGAAGCTTGATAATGCGACTTTTGATCCGGAAGACGCCTTGAAATTTCTGAAAGACATAGACGGAAGAAAATTGATAGCAGCGAAGGTTTTTTGACGCTCTATTACGATTATTGCAATAATAATGTTCGATGAATTACTATAAACTATTTTTTTATATTAAGAATATTATGTTCTTGCAGATTGGCTTAGATATTTTTCTTGCATTTACGCCGACTGTGGATTCCAAATCATCGAATCCTTTTTTACCAGAAAATCCATTGCAATTATTACGTAATGGAATTGAAATGCCAATCATGTTCGGATTTAATAGCCAGGAAGGCAATTTTTTCATAAATGCCATTGTGGTCGGCCGTAAGTATATATTTTTGTTTGTGCTTTTCATTATTACACATTATTAATTATTAGTATATCATGAATCGCTGTTTTATGTAGAATTTTCATAGATAAACGATCTGCAATATTTTGAAAATGTTTTGATGAACATAGAATGTTATAATAAATTTAATCAATATTAATAAGTTTTCAGGATTTCATCAATATATAACTTTTAAATGTACAAAAAGATTATTAATTATTTATTAATAAAACCGTTTTGTTTCTATGTAATAGAGCTACATATATATTTATAATACCTAAATAAAAAATCATTATAAAAATTAAAAATTGAAATTAAAATTAAAATGAAAAAAATCAAATAAATTAAAATTAAAATCGTTATAAAAATTGTTTCAGTGGTAAACTACGAGACTTTAAAGGAAATTAATTATGATTTCAAGAAAGCCATATATCCTAGAGTTTTGCGTCAATTACCACAACTTGGGATCACGGTACCAGAATTACGATCATTGTATTTTGGTAATAAAACAGTGTCGGAGAAAACTATAAAGAATCTTTCTGATTTTATCGGCGATCAGCATATCTATAGAGGCATTATACAAGCAATTGATACTCAAATGAATTCTAATGTTAACGAGTCGACTTACTTGTACAAATTTTCGTACAAAAGTGAAACCTCTCCTGTGAAGAAAATATTTTTTCAAAAACCGCTTTCAGGTATTGCGTTGTTAATTAAAATAGAACTATGTAAGAATCAAATTAATATTACAGTTAGAAAAGAAGTAAACGTGAAATTTCCTTCTATATATGATTGTAAGAAGACACACGTAATTCTGGAGAAATTTGATTTAAAAATTTAGAGAACATTTAAATATAAATTTTATAATGCACTTGTAATGTATGGAAAAAATTATCAACGTTTGAAATTAATTTACGTAACAATATTTTGCAGGTACATCTCACTTCGAGGAACTGGGCTATTTATTTTATCCTCATATAGGAAAAACATTCGGTGTGTTACCATTTGCACGTGATACGCCGGATTATAAAATTATGGAATACTTAACGCAGATGTGGACAAATTTTGCTAAAACGGGGTACCGTAGACTTGACATTTCTTATACGAATATGTATTGTGACATCGTACAATCACGTAATAATAATCATTACACATTTATTGCAGAAATCCAACACCTTCTTCAGCTAATTTTACATGGTCTCCAGTGAAAAATGGAACTACGTATGATTATTTAAATATTAATAAAAAACCTCGAATGACGATTCTTATTAAAGGAAACCAACGATGGGATTGGGAGAACAGACTTAAATTATCAAAAGGTTATACCAAATTCGAACAATTTTCCACCACACAGAACCATTCGTTAACTATACGAAACTTCACACAGACCTATAGTATGAGATAAAATAAGAAGAAATCTAACTCTAAAATTGAATTCCTCCGAAAAAAAACCTTTTAGTGCAAAAAACTGACAAACTAACATAAGACTGACAGTGAGAACAGATTGATGTGTCACTGGAGATCATTTGGAGACGATTTTTTTCGGCAGAAATGTTGAGGCATCAATAAATTTCGAGTTATAAGCGATTAAAAAAATTAAGATTTTCGTTTAATTATAACTTAAGCCTTATTATACCTTATTATTATACATTATTACTAATTATAAATAAGAAATTAAGTCTTGTGAAAATGATATATTAACAAAACTACATTCTTTATTATAATAGAATTTTAATTTAAGATTTAGTTACTAAGATATATGTATGTACATGGTAAAAATTGGAAACAGAAAAAATTATGACATCCCTTTCGACATTTTTGCTAAAAAATATAATTTTGAGATACTCTGCATATATAATTCTATATACCTATATAAAAATCTAACCCTTATAGAAATTTATCACTAGTAACACTAATTTATCTCTTATTTCGAGTGCTTACTCACTTATTTCGAGTACTTAAATTACTGTATATCAGTATTTTAATTACTCGAAATAAGTGATTAATTGGCGTTACTAATGTTAAATTTCTACAAGGGAACTACGTTGTAACTTTTAGTAACACTTAAAATTTTTCTTATATTTTTCTTTTCCAAAGGAATGACATCGAAAAGTATCCGTTCGTTGATATAGTTGTACATACATATATCTTGTGTAATAAAATTTATTAGTTGTACAGATAGAAAAATGATTTATAAAGAAAATTAATTTTGTTAAATAAAAAGATTCTTTATCTGCAACTAGTCAAATTTTGTTTGCAATATCGAAGAATTTGTTAATAGTAGTCTTATTGCTGTTACAATGTATATATTTAATAAGAGCGAAATTTTCCTTGTAGCGCACAAAATAATTATTTATTCATAATGTCTTCATGTTTATCAAGATACGAACTCTATTTTGACATCGCGCAGCTATTGGATCCTGATAAGAAAATGTCTATATATGTTTATTTATAAATACTTATTTTTTCTTTTTGCAATAAATTAGCCTGAGCATAAATTTTTCAGAGTTATCCTTCGCCGCATTGTCGAACAGAGTAAAAGTAAATGTGTTTGGAGGGACATTAGTCGGCATCGTCGAGGAAAGCATCTATGGTTCTTACAATGCCTTCCGTGGAATATCATATGCTAAACCTCCAGTGGGTGATCTCAGATTTCAAGTAAGTACAGAGAATGATTATAAATATTACCATCTTTGTTAAATGTTTCACTTTCACAAGTGATACAAACTGTTTGTTGGATAATTTTATAGGTGTAACATTTTATTCATGTAATATTTAGCCTTAGTCTCCTCTACTTTTCGAACGTTGGAAAAAATAGAAATGTGAAAAATGTAATAACTTCGTTTAAACTTTATCTTTATAGAAAAACACGCACTCTTTAAAATTATTAACTTCTAGAAACTTTTAAAAAGTTACGAGAATAATATCCACTCGTGACCTTATGCAATATAAGGCATATCGAATAGAGGTAGACAAATGAATCGATAATTCATTCCTTCATTAATTTTTTTTAAATACTAGAACAACAAAGCGCGCTACGAGCGCGCGCAACATTTCTCAATTTTATATTAACTTTTAATACTTTAGAACTTGCCGAAAATACATTTTTCCTAATATTAGTATTATTTTTCCTAATATTATTATAGTATATGTTTCATATTAGTTTTGTTTTTCCTAATATTAGTTTTATTTTTCCTAATATTAGTGTTATTTTTTATAATATTAGTAGTATTTTTTCTCAGATTATTTTTATGTTTCCTCAAGTTAATTTTATTTCTCCTAATATTAGTTTTTAATATTAATTAACTGGCAAAAAGAAAAGAAACTGCAGTAATTCTCTCCCAAAGAATTTAAAAAAATGTTTAGTGCTCTGCATTTAAGCATCTAAAAAATTATAAAGATTTTTTTACATAATATATATTCAGATTAATTATATTTATTCAAGTGTTATTATACAATATTGTATAAAAATCAGATATTTCACAATAAAAGTTTAGTTTGCGATTACAAACAATCTCGATTTCAGATAATTAAATTAGGATCAAATTCAGAAACTTCTTTAATTTGCCTTTTTTAAATTTCTCTCGAATTTGTGATACATAATTTATTCTGTAAATATAGATTAAATTTAATTTTTAATAGCATAACAAAGCATTCGACCAACGACTCTAACGAGTGCCGAAAAGTTCAAACGACGTCAATTCTTTTTAACTGCTATTCTGAGAAGGAACATTTTCTTTCTCAACGCTTACACGGTGTTTCGACCAAATAAGAATAAAATGTTGCGATTGAGAATGGCAGAAACCTTACATTACGTAAATAATTATACGAAGAAAATAGCATACATGTCTCTCTCTCTCTGTCTCTCTCTCTCTCTCTCTCTCTCTCTCTCTCTCTCTCTCTCTCTCTCTTTCTTTCTCTCTCTCTCTCTCTCTCTCTCTCTCTCTCTCTCTCTCTCTCTTGCTCTTCCTTTCCCTTCCTCTCTTTAAGTAGATAGAATAAATAATTTTTGTATTTTGTAATGTATAAATAATTTTGGAATTTAAAAATCTAAATTTTAGATTTATTTATTTAACAACATATTTGATAAAGAATCAAATCGGTTCCGGACAGTTGTGACATGTTACTTGTTAAGGTGCAAATAAACAACGCGTGACTCGGCGAGTTTCGCGCAGCTCGTGCAAGCTCGTAAATCCGTCTTATTATAAACCTTTATTGTTCTCACGGCGCGTTAATTCGCGAATCCCGCGCCGCTTGTTGTGCTGTATGAACTTTAAAGAAACCCATTTGTCATTTAAAAATGTCTTGTCAACGAGAACACATCATTTCTTGTGCAGCAGCTTGCTACGTATTAATGAGTGGTGATTATTTTTTAAAGAAAAAAACGTAGAAGACGATGGTGGATGGTATCATTAAATAAAAGTCGGGCTATGTAAGTATTATATATATTCATTTATTATGTTTTTGAAACGTACAAATAATTTATACTATTTTTAATAATTATGTGACTTATTACAGATATAACGCGACCGACATGCTATACGATTTAATCAAAGAACTTTCTGGTAAATTCCAAAATTTCTGCACAATGTCAACAGCAGATTGTGAATATCTACTCAACAAATGTAAAAATTCCGCTACTGATTTATTTGACCAATCCATTGCGCTTTGCACAAACCACGAATCTATTCGAGCCTGTGTAAATGCCTTTACGGGACAAGCGACAAGCGGCGTGTTTCTTTTGACTCGTATATACTTATCGACGATCAACAGAAAAGACGCGCCGCGCCAAGCCTTCTCGCGCTATAAGTCTATTCACACGACTCGCGGCGCGGCAAGTCCCGAGCCAGACTCGACGAGTCACGTGTCGTTTATATGCACCTTTAGATAAGATTAAGATTATTTTGTTTTAAATATATCTAGATAAAAAATAAAATTACATGACGATTTATCTAGATAATTTTCGGATAATTCTGTTTTTAAGATTGCTTATATAAACAAAGTTATAAAAAATGTAAATTATAAATAGGATATAAAAATATATTCATACTTTTATTTTTTAATTTTTTAATTTTTTAAATATGTATAAATAATACATATTTCTATTATCTATGTCAATATAAGTTTGCTCCAAAATTTTATCTAATTGATCATCTATAAAATTTTAATTAGATAACAAACACTGATTGTAGGATCCGCAATCACCAAACCATGGTCCAGCAACAGAGACGCTTCGTCTAACGTCTGTCTTCAGATGGAAACGAACATTGTCATAGGCGAAGAAGACTGTCTCTATTTGAACGTGTATACCAACGATGTAACACCTTCAAAGAAAAGTGCTGTGATGGTATGGATACATGGTGGAGGCTTTTTTGTGGGAGACGGTACCTCGTTTTATTACGGTCCCGATTATATCATGCGGAAGGATGTGGTACTCGTCACCCTGAATTACAGATTAGGTGTTCTAGGTACATTATTAATTAGCTCAAAATCATTTTATGTTACTTGCGTTCAATGATCTACCTTTTTTTTAAGTAAACACATACACACGCATTCTACTTCCCACGATCCAAATAATTTACGTGTATGTATGATTTTTTTAAACTACCAATTTCAAAACAATAATCAATTATCATAACTTTTTTATAAATTTTAACGTTTCATTACTTTTTTTATAAATTTTGTTTTCATTAACAATTGTCGAATTATAAGTAATTAAAAAATTCGTGAAATCGATTTATTTAAACGTTGAAATTTTTATATATTTATATAAATTATATAAATAAATTAGAAATTTTAAATAATCGGCCAAACTAGCAGAAATTAAAATTTATTAAGTTTTGTGACGTTTCGAACATGTGGATATGGTCTTTTTCAAATGAAAAACGTTAAAAACATTTCAACCACATGGTCAAAACGTCGTGAAACTTAATTAATTCTAATTTGTGCTAGTTTGGTCGGCTATTTAATATTCCTTATTTTAATGACTAGCGAATACGAATATTTAAGACTTGATATCAAATTTTACTAAACGTATTAACGACATGTTTCTCTCATTCTCTCTTTAGGTTTTCTCAATTTTTATGAGGAAAGGCGCCGGGAAATCAGGGCTTAAAAGATGTAGTTATGGCGTTAAGATGGGTTAAAAGAAATATATTGCAATTCGGTGGAGATCCCGATAACGTCACAATTTTTGGTCAAAATGCGGGTGGAGTGATAGTTCACTATCTAACTATTTCACCGTTAGCTAAAGGTACGAATCAACAGGACATGATATTAATATACATATATTAAGAATATTAGAAACACATTTTACACAAAAAAAATTAAAAAATTTTATAGATTTACTGTAGCAAAAAATTTTTAATAAGGTTTTTTTTTTATTGTAACTTAAATTTCGATTGCAAATTATATAATATCGACGTTTTAAAACATCGTAGAAAATTATTTAGAAGATACTTGATAACATCCTTCAGTAAAAAAATATCGATTCTAAATTGAGAATTGAAAATTAAAACACGCTGATTAATTTTATGTGTCATATCGAGTCAAAGAGGAAAAATGAAAAATCTCATGATCAAGTCATATTAAACTTTAAGTGTCAATATATTATGTACTTAACAGGTTTATTTCATAAAGCAATATGTCAAAGTGTGTCATGACAGTTCCTTGGGCTTTCACTGAACAAGACGATGCTATCAATAACGGTCTGATGTTAGCCCAGAAGCTTGGTAATGCGACTGTTGATTTGGAAGACGCCTTGAAATTTCTGAAAGACGTAGACGGAAGAAAATTGATAACAGCGGAGGTTTTTTGACGCTCTATTACGATTATTGCAATAATAATTTTCGATGAATTACTATAAACTATTTTTCTATATTAAGAATATTATGTTCTTGCAGATTGGCTTAGATATTTTGCTTGCATTTACGCCGACCGTGGATTCCAAGTCATCGAATCCTTTTTTACCAGAAAATCCATTGCAATTATTACGTAATGGAATTGAAATGCCAATCATGTTCGGATATAATAGCCAGGAAGGCAATTTTTCATAAATGCCATTGTGGTCGGTCGTAAGTATATATATTTGCTTTTGCTTTTCATTATTACACATTATTAATTATTAGTATATCATGAATCACTGTTTCATATAAAATTTTCATAGAAAAGCGATCTGCAATATTTTGAAAGTGTTTTGATGTACGTGGAATGTTATAATAAATTTAATCAATATTAATAAGTTTCAAGATTTCATCAATATATAACTTTTAAATGTACAAAAAATTATTAATTACTTATTAATAAAACCGTTTTGTTTCAACGTAATAGAGCTACATATTTATTTATATATTTAAATAAAAGATTATTATAAAAATTAAAAACTCAAATCAAATTTAAAATAAACAAAACCAAATAAAATTAAAATAAAAATCGTTATAAAAATTGTTTCAGTGGTAAACTACGAGACTTTAAAGGAATTGATTATGATTTCAAGAAAGCCATATATCCTAGAGTTTTGCGTCAATTACTACAACTTGGGATCAGGGTACCAGAATTACGATCATTGTATTTTGGTAATAAAACAGTGTCGGAGGAAACTATAAAGAATCTTTCTGATTTTATCGGCGATCAGCATATCTATAGAGGCATTATACAAGCAATTGATACTCAAATAAATTCTAATATTAACGAGTCGACTTACTTGTACAAATTTTCGTACGAAAGTGAAACCTCTCCTGTGAAGAAATATTTTTTCAAAAGCCGCTTTCAGGTATTGCGTTGTTAATTAAAGTAGAACTATGTAAGAATCAAATTAATATTACAGTTAGAAAAGAAGTAAATGTGAAATTTTTCTAATACAGATTGTAAGAAACACACGTAGTTCTGAAGTTGATTAAGATGAGACATTAAAATTCAGAGAAAATTGTAATTAATAAATTTTATCATGTAATGTAGAACTTTTGAAAAAATTTTATAATGTTTAATAATATAATATAAATAATATCAATAATTAATTTTCACGTAACAATATTTTCATTACATCTCACTTCGAGGAACTGGGCTATTTATTTTATCCTCATATAGGAAAAACATTCGGTGTGTTACCATTTGCACGTGGTACGCCGGATTATAAAATTATGGAATACTTAACGCAGATGTGGACAAATTTTGCTAAAACGGGGTACCGTAGACTTGACATTTCTTATACGAATATGTATTGTGACATCGTACAATCACGTAATAATAATCAATTACACATTTATTGCAGAAATCCAACACCTTCTTCAGCTAATTTTACGTGGTCTCCAGTGAAAAATGGAACTACGTATGATTATTTAAATATTAATAAAAAACCTCGAATGACGATTCTTATTAAAGAAAACCAACGATGGGATTGGGAGAACAGACTTATATTATTAAAAGGTTATACCAAATTGGAACAATTTTCTGATACAGAACCATTCGTTAACTACACGAAACTTCACACAGACCTATAGTATGAGATAAATATGAAGAAATTTAACTAAAATTGAATCGCTCTGAAAAGAAGCTTTTGGTGCAAAAAAACTGACAAACTAACAAAAGACTGACAGTGAGAAACAAAGTAATGTATCAATGGTGACCAAAGCTCAATTGTTTTTTCAATTTAATATCCTCCTTTTTTTAAAGCACATAATCTGTTTTTAGGTATAGATATATGTATATATACTGTATATACATATATGTATGTAGATATAGTATACATATATGTTTATTGTATGCAATATGTAGAATAATAATATGTATACTGTATACATATATTATTTTTCCAAATATTTTTTACTTTTAATATTTTTAAAGTAATCCTAAAAATATTTTACGATTCTTGGTCAAAGATTTATTAAACCCTAGACGTATAAAAAATATATTCTTTTAAGAATAAAATGTCTTTCTTTTTCTCCATATATCTTTATTTAAATCCTTTTTCACATTCTCTGTTTTTGAAAAAAAAGCTAATGTCCCATAAAATGATAACTGGGTTGCTACAATACTGTTATCGAATCGTGCTTGACTGACCCATTCATCCAGTGAGGAAATTTTCGAGAAAAAAAGAAAGAAAAAACTAATTTATATTTTTTTTTCTATTCACTATCTTTTTTTGGCTTAGACGTATGAGTTTGTAAACGAGAAGATAATCAAGAAATACAAAATCGATATTTGCGCGCTACGTATATGATAAGTCTCGAATTATTATCAATAATGTTATCAGCGATATTCGTAATGATTGTCATCGAGAAATGACGAATTATCATTCCTCGCCAATCTAACTCGTTTTATAATCATATGCTTCCAAGTTCCAAGTTTGATTGCGTGAACGTAAATATGGCCGCATTAATCCCGACGGAGACATATCGACAGTCGCGCTGAGTGGATCTCGGCCAGGTTACTAGCGCCGATTCTGGCATTATTCATTCAGTGTCCGTCATGTACGGCGACTGAGTGGCCGTGGACGTGCGCCAGGTCCAATTAATCGATATCATCGAAGAAAATATGGTCACAGCGGCCTTACTCCGCCTCTAAAGGCGCAATTACATCGCGTTCCGAGGAATACCGTACGCGAAACCGCCGGTCTGTAAACTATAGGGTTCAAGGTGATAGCTCTCTCACGTGTCTTGTTATCCTTTTTATCGAACTTAAAACTCGAGTTTGCCTTTCTATCCAGAAGTGGGAATTGAGGAGTCTCGGTTATACTGAAGAGTCTCGGTTATACGGAAATTGCAGTTAAATAAACAATTGTAGACAAACGACTTAATTATTTTCAAGTTTTTTTAATTGTTAGATAATCTCATATAATTGCGAACAATTTGGAAAATAACAATCAATCGCCATTGAATAATTTGTAAAAATTTATGGAAGAGTTTTTGAAAGTTAGGAAAAATATAATCCTTATTGTAAGTTGATTTTTAAATTACAACAATGACAATCTCAGGTGTAATCTTAAAGAATATCTCTTTCTATAATTGATTTTTATGTGAATTAAGCTTCTCTTCTCTATGTAAGATTTGTGTAGGTTTCGCGCTCTTCACAAAAGTAAACTTTGCTTACTGATAATGGAAAGAATTAATGTTTAATTTCTTGAATAAAAAGACCTGTTTTATACAAATTCCGAAGACATGTATGACAATTTCTATTACCAATTTTATATATGTGTGCCATGTTTTCCAATATTCTCTCGTTATATGTTTCTTACGCAAGATAAACGTATCGCATCTGTAACCCTGTTCAACAAAAAAAAATTAATCAGAAGACTAGTCGTTTCTTATAGTTTTTTGAATGCTGAATACGAATCCAAATTTTATTTCATCACGTCACAATTTTGAGAAATTTTTATAGTTACAAAAAAAATTTTTACTTCGTTCCCAGCAAACACAGAGATGTAATATATATATATATATATATATATATATATATATATATATATATCTCATTGTCAGAGTTATAACATTATATATCACAAGTAACATAGTTACATAATAAGTAAAATATAATACATCTATGTTACATGTACTACTAAATGTCAGCAACAAAAGTACTTCTCTGATATATCAGAGATATATATCACTGTACTTTAAATGTTATATATATGTTACATAATGTTGCCACTATACTACATAACAAATATATACATAACTATATAAATTTATAACATATATTTTATTCATATGTAATAATAATATATTAAATTATTCTTCTAATATTTAATAATTATTCCTAATATTTTTTCTATTGTTCGTCTTACATATAAGCAAAATATATATTAAACGCATTTACACTTTGTTATATATGCATTTGAATAATATGTTATGCTAATGTATATTCATATTGTATGTTTATTAAAAATTTATAGGTATAATATTTGGAGGATTATTCTCTTATGCTGTTATTTAATTTTTTTAAGTTATTTTATATTTATTTTTTCAAATATTACACATATAATAAAAATTAGAAATACATAAACATTTATTAAAATCTTATATTAATGTTATAGTACTTAATATAAATTTATTTTTTATAAATATTTAACATATACTTGAGAAAAGAAGAATAAAATAAAATTTCAAAAATAAATGATAATTACACAATGTCATGTTGATATCAATATACACGTACAATATAAAATATAATATAGAGTGAAACTTATTAAATATATATAATGAGAAATAAAATTCGGCTCCTGTAAAATTAAAATAAGTTATAAATTAAAAGGCCAACTTAACGAGCTGATTAATTAGGTGTTGACAATTTATTCTAAGTCATGAAAATAATACAAATGATAATTAGTAAACGTTTCGACTGTACGACAGTCTTTATCAATACAAATACAAATATCGCTTTGCTAACATATCCATAAATCAAATAATTTGGAAAGACAAAACTTATATCATACATGTAAAATATATAGATTTATAATATGAAAAACGCAGTATAACACATTATAATTGTTGGCTTAAATTACGGCTGATCGTTCGAATTAATCCTTAAAGAGCCTAACCCCGAACATCAGATTTCTGTAGTTCTTTTTAAATAAACGTCTAATTTTGTAATTCATGATATAATAATGATATGTAATAAGCTGTGAAATAATAATGTGTTAGCCTGAATATTGGATATTTGATTTTTAAATAGATAGTGATCACTTTCATCTATGTCGAGACGATAAAATTCTTTAAAATATTTCTTATTGAAAAACATTATAAACCATGTATACTTTGTAAAAGCAAACTCAATATATGTAAATTACAATGTCAGGACGCTGTATATATACCGTATAAGATATAGACAATTTTTCTAAAATATCAAAATAAGAACCGTCAAGTCGCTCGGTGTCCTTTTTTAAGTTGATACTGTTTTTTTCTTCTTTAATGTATATCATTTCCGATATCAACCTTTTATAATAATTCCTTTCGTGATCCAAGATTTTTGTATTATTCCAATTATAAGTATGTGTAAACTTTACAATATGATCAGAAACCACCGAGTGTCTTGCAGGATCCAATCTGATATTATTTTTATG